ACTTATCAAAATCTGATGTGCAGAGCTGAGCAAAGAATCTGGCAGTCCAGAACCTCCTGCTATTTTCACAAGACCTGCTGTTYTGTTTCACATTGGTTATGACACTCACATAAATTCTCTGCTGACTGTTTCCAGTGACACCTTGTTAAACCTACAGATGTCTCAGCACCTTGGAAAATATTTTTAGATGTACAATAATCTTCACGCTGTCTTTGATAGTGACAAAAAGTGGGAAAAAGGCAATTTCTTTTTCTTCTGTTACTATTCCAGAAAGGTACTTTTCTGTAATTTCAGGGTAGGAAAAAGCATATAAATAGAAAAATCTCACCCAGACTGGGAAATGTGAGAAATGTGTTAAATTAACACTGCTAAAGACTAAGAGAGCTCTGCCCTTCTCTGCTCTGTGGTGCAGACTGGGCCATGCACAGCGCTCAGGATACTGTCTTGCACCTTCTCTGTCCCACATGCAAACTGTGGGATGGGCTTTAAGGTACARTGTTTACATCCAATTCCAAATTCCTCTACAACGTGGGTGTTCAGAATCAGCCAGTTGACAGCCCTTTTGTTTATGTTACAGCTGGTGCAATGCTGGTTGAGGTCTTTTACCCCTGTGGACCTGTTCCTCCTCTGGTGTATCCTCTCAGTCATTCTGAATTGTGCCTCACAGGGCAGGGCAGCTTTTGGGCAGCCCAGGATGTTGGGTGCAGCTCCCAGGGTTGGTTTCAGAAATGTTGGGTCATTGGTCAGATGATTGGAAGTTGTTTATATGGATTTTACAGTGCAAACATTTTCTTAACAATCAGGGTTTGGCTAGAAACTCTTGGAGAGGAATCAGGGGTAGCCTTCTACAATCTTTGGACATTGTTTGAAAGTTTCCTGTGAAATTAGTACTTGTGCTTAGTCAAATTATGTTTGCTTGTTGACCCCTCTTATCTAATTAGTCCTTACTTCACTGAGCTGCTTCTACTTGCATGCACTGAATCAGCTATTTCCCATTTCTGTTTCACCACTGTAATGGTGACAGCAGTACATTTGAGCTRAGAGATGCTTTCTTTTCCATGTTATAACCCCATGCCTTGTGATCTGTGGAGAAATAAATTGTTTTGTTGTGCATCAGCCATCTGTTTAAGGCTGAGGGGAAGAATGTGTGGTAATCTCAGATTTAATAGCAGCCARTCAGACAATTCTTGAGGGTCTTCTTATCAGGTGTGGATGAGTGTCCAAAGCTTGGATGCCCATCTGTACTCCTGAGGTTCCCACATCTCTGTGCACTATACAAGCAGCTTCAAGAAAGGGTTCTTGAAATCTCAGGCTCCATTCTCTATGGCCTACTGCATCTCTAAGCATGTTTTAATGAAAAACACCAAATCTTAACTTAGAGCAGGATTCGAGAAAAATGTCCTATTCAATTACTGAAKTATAGGTGAACTGTAATTATAAGACACAATCATGTCTTGGTACAAAGCACCAGTCAAAAACGCAGAAAGGATTATTTGTTGTTTAATTTAGCAAAGGAAGGCAGCTGATCATGCTAAGTCTATCTGACACCTAGCAAGTTGTGTGATCCTATTTGTTAATCTTTTTAACTTTCTGTTTTATTAGGATAGGGTTTCAAGAGCAAATAGGATAAAYGAGATTAAATCTGTCGCCCTGAATTACTCTCCACTGAGTTATGAACAGAATCACTTTATGTCAGAGRAGTATAATCATGAGGGAAATGCTGCCTGTGTAATTGTGTGCTTCGTTCAGAAGAATTTGAGATCCTTAATTATCTCCAGTGTGCCATGGTGGTGTGTCCTGGCTCTGAATCTCTACAGTAAACAAAGCCAARGAAAGTTTCTCTTTGGCTCGATTTTTTGATGTTTTTGATGCATGCAACAATAGCAACATTACCCTTCAGGTCTTCTGGTTCAAGTGAGGGATCCAAATTACATTGGAATAGGACGCACATTGTACAATTACTTTCTCTCAGAAAAAAATCTTGTGGTGCTTTGTTAGGGATTTATACACTGGTCCTGGCTCTACTTGGTTCATATAGCCCTATAAAAGCTGGAGTACCCTTCCTGCTATATAATTCCACTGTGAGATGGGTTGAAGACAAAATAACCGTAGCCTCTTGAAATTTTGGGCTTACCAGCCAAAGAAAGCTTTAAATCCTCTGGGTTGTTTATCTAAGTTTCACAACAAATTCTGTTAGGAAAAAGCAGAGGAAAAGTTCAGCTAGATTTGTCCCAATAATAGCCATAATTGTTGCTGGAAGCAGACTCCTGGACAGAGGATATGCACGAAGTAAAAAGAAAYGTACTACAGGTCCTGCTTCAACATTTCTGCAGCTTCCTTCTTGAGGCAGAGAGGCAGAAGCCAGACTTTGCACRATGGGTTAAAACAACCTGCTAGGTTCAGATTGCCAAAAATTATGTGTGCATTAGTGGAGAGGGGCAGGGAGGCTGCTTCATTTTGGTGAATCCTAYTGGCAATTTTATTTTCTTTTTCAGACCTTTTTACAATTATGAGCCAGGACTTGATCTCCACATCTGTTTTCATTGGCCAGTCTAGTTTACAAATGAGGCCCCTTTTGTCTCATCTAATTTTATGTAATCTGTGATGCTGCATAACAATTCTGGGAAGAAGAAATGAAAGGATTGTGAACTGACCTTGTGGCTAGTATGTACAATGACTCACTCTATCCTTTATTTCAACTTCCGTGAAGTCTTTTCAGATACACTGTTTACCCAGTAAATGAGCTGTGCAGTTTATCTTATGGCTAAAATTCTTCCTAATATTTTGATATATTTGTTGGGAACATGACAAATTAAATCACAAATGAGAATGTTAAAGAATGCTTACATTAATCATCTGAGACAGTCTCTCTCATTATAATCTTGTTCAGAGTAACTAGTTATCTGTAAGAAAGGGTTTCCTGTGCCTTGATTTGCCAACCTACGTGACTTTAYTGCCAAGGACATCTCTCCTCCATGCTTGACAAGCAATGGGTAACTTCATAATCTTTCTCTGTGTAGGCAGTTTCTTCACGGGAAGAAATTAAGTCAGTCATGCCCATTACTGGATCTAATTTTACTATAATTTAGAGGGAAGAACTCTTCCCYGAGCAAAATTGATTTTATAACTGCTTACTTCAGGATTTATTTTGCTTTCCTCCAAAGGATGTGGCAGAAACTGTTGTTAGTGACAGGTCTGCAACCTGCTTGGCAAGGTCACTGCAGCACCTTTCCTGGCAAGTGAGAAACTTGAGCCTTGCTTTGGTTTTCAGTCAGCAGCAGCTGCTCTSAGGCAAACCGAGCAAGGCACTGTGACCTTGCTACTTGTTGARATTCCACCTTTTGGGAAACATAAGGTTCTTAGGGTACCCCATGGAGTCAAGCTGGTTTTGGCTGATTCTTTTTTTCCCATTCTCCCTTAGTCAGCCTGGAGGTTTGGCCCAGGCCGCAGACGTGTCTTGCTCATGGTTTTACAAGTCATTCAGCCTGGATAGGACTTCTCTATCTTTTCCTCACTCCAGGCCAGGCTGAGTGATGCACATGCAAGGAAAGGTCCTTTTAAAAGCAGTTTCCAGCAGTGCAGTATTAAAAGYCCAGCTGTGAAGAGGTGGAGGAGTGCAAAACAATCTCTTTCTGCCTGCCCTCAAAGAAATGGGAGAGGAGAATGTGGTGCCCTTCTAACAGTGGCCACAAGAGCACGTTTGACAGTGTCCCTTCAAGGTCAATAACACCATTCTCAGCTGTTCAAAACAGCCTCTTGGTAGCAAACCCAGAGCAAATAATGGAAGAAGGCTGCTTGCTTGCTGTTGTTTTCTCCTTCTTTGCACTGGCTTCAGCCTGGCAGACAATCAGATTCAACTGTAGATGTAATGCAGGCAAAATATCGGAATACATGGGCCAGTGTATGATTTATGCTAATGGCAGCAGGCACGCTGAATGCCTGCCTGCTTGGCAGCCTTGGAAGAGTCCTTGGCTGTCAAGACACATGGAAATCTAAAGAGCAACTCAATGAGGGGTCCTTTCTTTAATTACATGCTTTGTCCCACATTCTTCCTGGTTTATATTTGCAAGTATCATGATCAGAATTTTCTCCTTGGTGTCCCTGTAGCAGCAAACCTCCTCCTGCAGACAGGAGAAACACACTTGCTGTGGTGTTCACAGGTTGTGAATGGCTGAGTGAATGCACACTGTGTTTTATTTGGGGAAGCTGCCTGTAAAGCAGGCTCTTTGCTGCCTCATCATGCCCTTCTCTGCTGGTGGGAAGTGTTCTTTGCAGTTTGAACAATTTTCCTCTAATTAGCAGGCATTTCCCCATCCTCTTTCCAAAATCTCCTACTTGCTCTCCTTTACCCTTTATCTTCAGTTCCTCTCAGTTACACTCACTGGGTGAGCACCAAATCTTTCTGGTGCTTCTGAAAACTATTCCCATAGCATATGCCATCCACTTTCTTTTTGATATTGCATTTTCATATTCTGCTGACCATGCAAAGCCCATGCTTGGTCTCATAAAACTTTCCCCCCAGGAGAGGTTTTGTGGTGTTGTTTCTGCGTGTTGAAAACCATGGAAGCTTAGTGAGAAGCGAGTGTTGATTCTCTTTGCCCCTGCTTTGGGGATCAATGGTTTGAATCYTATTCTGCTTTACACCAGTGAAAATTGAAAATAATCCCGGCTGCAGTAAGGCTGTAGAGAAGGTAACAGAAATGCAACAATGGGATGAAGCTTTTACACAGAGTAGTAAAACGCCAAGTTGCAATTAAGGCAATAGGGTGGCAAAGCCCTGTGAGCCCTGTGAACAATCGGTGCTTTCTGTGCTCTGGAACAAAGCAGCTTTACAGAGGGTGTTGCAGTGAGCGCTGAAACTGGAAATTTCTGTTACGTTGCAAATTCAGCCTTGYTGCATGGCTGGGGTGGGGGCAGAGTATTTCTCTTAAGTGATGAGTGGGAAGAGACTCCGTGTTACAGCTGAAAGAGCCCTTACCCATAATTTTTGTTCTCCACAGGTGCCCCTGGTTGACAAAAGCCATCTCCCCAGCTGTCCCAGTGTACAATGGACTCGTTTTCTTGTTTGTGCTGGCAAACTTCAGCATGGCAACTTTCATGGACCCTGGAGTTTTCCCACGAGGTAACAAAAATGGGACTGTTGCAGGGGTTGGGGGACATTGAAAATCCAGGCCAAAGGAAGTGCCAGGTATCCAAAMACACAAGCTGCTGAGTAATCTTGTAGACTTTATTTATTTATTTGTGCACTCGACTGTCAGCAGAGGTGGGATGGCAGTGAAATGCTGGGTGCCCTCCAGCTCCCTTCTGAGCTCCTGGGTGTCAGTTGTCCTTGCACTTGCTCAGATTGGCAGTCGAGGTCACAGGGTTGTGTAGAATGTTCTCCTTGAATAGCTCTCCTGAGTGATGTGATTTTGATTGCTATCCCCTGTGTCATGCTGGCACATTGGATTTAAGTCACTGTCTTCTCCATAGGTAGCAGAGCATGGCAGAGGGGAGAGGCTAAACTTTGTGAAACAGTTTCATCAGAGCACTCCTTCCAGAATACCTTAAAAGAARTGCAGAAGCACTGAACGCTAGAACAGATAATGATTAAGGCTTGCCTTAGAGTGTCTAAAAATGTATACATTTAGAAAGATATTCCTGCTTAAATTAGTTCTGATTCACAGCTGATTAAATAGGATAGAGATCACTCAGCTTTTGTAATGGGAACCACAGTGCAGCTATCTCTTTTAACACATCCTAATGAGAGAATTATCACCTCATTTTATCTGTCTTCCAATAATTATTCACATGCAGTTTGCAGCAGAGACTGCTCTAGGCAGTCTGTCTAAACCAATGGATCTGTGTTGTCTGCAAGCTGTGCTTCTTCACCTCTATTCACCAAATTCAGGATCTATTTTGAATTGCTACCTGACAAGAACAAAGKACCAGTCCTGCTGGCTCTCCTGAATAGCAAGGCCAGGTTTCTCCAGGTAGCAGGGTCTAATAATGAGCATCTCTCAGCTGARGCTTCTGAACCCCTGATTAAGTGTTGCAGCATGCCAGTTAAGGAAATAATTGTGTGGAAAGGCAAACTAAGGCAAAGGCAAAATTCTGTGACTTGTGTAAGATCAACTGCTACAGTGTATGAGTGCTTAAAGCTRCAAATGCTAATGACTTTCAGAAGAATTTATGCAGGTGGAGTTTTAAGGAGTTAATTTGTTAGTTGTTATTTATCTCTTCAGAGATGGCAGTGGTTAATTGAACATTCTTGGCGTGTGGGGTTGTTGAAAGCATCAGTGTTCTCTTCCTTCAGTAGGAGCAAAGCAGGAATAAAGTTGTTCTGTTATGAAAATCTCAGTCTGAGAATCCAGTGTGTTTGTGCAGGGCGGTTCCCTTAGAGCAGAGCTGGACATCACCAGGCCTGAGGAGCAATCAGTGCTGAGTGTGTTGTCAATTTTTACCTTCCTTTGGGCTCCTCTAACTTCCTTTTGCAAGCAAGTTCTTCATTTTGGACTTTGCATTTAAGGAAGAAACACACAGGGAGATAGATAGAAGATTTCTCATCACCTTCCCTCCCATCCCATCTCCCTTTACATGCAGGAGTCAAGAACAAAGCTCCTGCAGCTCACCCCTCTTCTGTCTCTCACTTCATTTGTGGCCTTGGCTCCACATCTCTGTGCTGTGCCTGTGCTTTGTCAGGAAGGTGCTGGGAGCAATGGGAGCAGGGAAAGGATGAGAAAAGGCACAGAATTCATCCTGGGAGAAAGTAATGGAGTCAGAGTTTAGATGTGYGAAGGAAGCAAACTGATAAGGGAAAAGATGGAAAAGGCTATAAATACCAGTGCTGGGAGGAAAGAGGAGCAGATTTTATTTCAGATCACAAGTGTGCATGTGAAAAAAAGCTTATCACCACCCCACGCCGCCCGCAGAGCTGCCAGCGCAAGGAGTTCAGGAATTGTAGGAGTCATTTAAAATGAATACACAATCAATCTGTTTKCTTTCTGCCACTGAAATTAGGTTTAGTCTTCTTGGTTTTCAAGCTTCTTAGCACATTTCTGATAGTTAGGAATTTACTTAAAAACCAAAACAACAAATAAGCAATGCAAAAGCTGTGACTAATGAAATCACACAAATCCTTTAGGGAAGCCACCAAAAAATTGTTACAAAAACACAAGACTAGGCTGCTCTGTGTCAGTGGATCAGAGTATGAGAATCTGTATTGTAAGACACATTCCTTTGTCACTGTGTTCTTCTGCTCAGGTCACTGGAAACTGGAAATGAGCACATTTCTGGCTATATCATATGAGCTTACAGGTGCTCTGGCAGACAGAACTTGGGCTATGGGGGGAAATGATAGAATTTAGGCTGCAGAAACCCAGCTTGTTGAAGAGGAGCTTAATCAAACTCCYAGATCTGTTACTCATTTTTAAATTTTTTTTTTTTTAAATCTGTTGGCTCTCTGAATGTTTCTGGTATGAATCAGGATTGGCTCTGTGTGAGTGAATTTCTGGTAATACAACAGAATGAATGAGTAGGAAAGGAAGTATTAAGTAACTGAAATTGGGGCTACCCTGAAAAATCTGATTTACAGTCTAGGCTGAGACTGGCAGTGTTTTTTTCCTGGCTAATTATACCAACTACAGACTGGCTTTCAGTATTTTTGATGTGATTCTGTCTTATACAAACTCTGTGTATGAATTCTGCAAAAGCAGTGTGTTTCAACGCATGTAGGTATATATAATTTACAAATTTTTGTCTGCATAGTCAGGTTTTTTACAAGCGCTTAAATGGTTTGACTGTTCGGGTGTCTTGTTTTCATCTGCCCACATGTATTACACAGCATGGKCAGGTTTATAATGGTATTGGAGAGCCTACAGACTGTATTTATAGAAGTGCCTAGGGGATTTAAAGTCTGGCTCTCTCCAAGAGTCCCACTGACTAGTTATGAAGGAAAATTATAGGGAATGGTGCCAGTACAGCACTCTGCTTCCATGCACCAACATTAATCCAGAGAATACTCCTGCAAGATAAATGCTGTAGCTGAGCCAGATCCCAAGCTCATCTAAGTGAAGGGAGAAATTCCCTCTGAAGTCAATGGAAATTGGATCATGATAACACATCTAGAGAAGATTTAATATAGAACTGAATGACAGTAATTGATGCTCCACTGGGACACCATTATCAAATTCCACCTAATTTGGAGCCAGTCAGCCAATGCCAGCTGCACTATAATGTTTAACCAGGTGTTAAATAGATGTGAACTTCTTAGATTTTCTGTCAGGAGGAAACAAATAAAGATCACAGGAATCTAGAATAATATGTTTTCTTCCCAATATATATTTGTCCATTATAGACTGGYTTTTATTCTGTGCTTTTATTTTTAAATGGACTCTTTTCCTAAACAGGGCRGTGTTTAGGTGAGATGATAAAGCATGTGTCCTCTGTGTTGTCCCCAGTAAGGGGACTCTGCAGGGCCCCTGTGTCCCAGGTACTGACAGGATTAACTCTTCTCTCTTYGTCCTCTGCTACCTCCACTAACTTTCAGTTTTGCATTGAGCAGCAGACGAAGATGAAGACAAAGACGACGACTTCCGAGCGCCGCTGTACAAGAACGTGGAGATCAAAGGAATCCAAGTACGGATGAAGTGGTGCGCCACCTGCCACTTCTACCGCCCRCCCCGCTGCTCCCACTGCAGCGTCTGTGACAACTGTGTGGAGGTAACAGTGCTGGATTAGGGCACCTCTGCCTCTGCCTGGGGGCTGGCACTGCCCCTGCTCTCAAAAACAGGCCCCACTGTTCCAGTTCTTGGAGCCTTGTTGGACTCTTGCTGAGCGGTACCATTTGAAGCACAGCCCCCAGTTCGGTGTGTTACAAAGGCGATAATTCTCCATGTCAATCTTGCTGCCAGTGATAATTAGAAAAAAAAAGTTTGAAAAAGAGTAATGCTGCCTGTGTGTTCCTTGAAATAGCTAAGGGATTGTGAATGTGAAAAATGGGTGAATGGGAGAGTTGATGCAGAGTTTAGGAGAGCAAGAAATTCGGGGTGAACCATTTTAACTTGTGATGTGGGAGCTTAAGGCTCAYCATTTAATTGGAGCAAATTGGTGCCTGCATTAGTGGACAAGCAGAGAAGCCAGAATGGTGTGTGAGTTCAGGAAAACCAAAGTCAGAATTCAGCCAGTCCATTTCCAGTCAATGGAAGGAGCACATGTTTGTTTCAACACCCCAGCTCAGAGCATGAACTCATTCATGTTTTGAATGTTGATTGCTCTGAATTAGGGGACTTTGATAATTCTTGRTACCCTTAGGGTCTTGTTGAATCATACAGGATTTTTCAAAAATAACCCCTAAACAGTAAGATGTGCTTTTGGGCTGTAAACTTCTCCCAAACATGTAGGTACAGAGCACTGAATTCACAGCAGTGTATTGCCAGGGGACACTTTTTATTGCTGAGCTAAAAATTCCACTTCTAAAGKATCATTTCTGCTGCAAGGTCTATTTTTTTTTCAATAGAAAGATGAAATCTTTAATATGTTCAAAATATATTCARCTGTGCCATTAAAATGAAAGGAATTACTAATCAGAAGGGGAAAAAAAATACCAGAGTCAGCTGGAATGCTGTATACACTACCTTTGTCCTAATCCTCTTTGCCATAAGCAAGGGAATAGTCCCAAAGAAAGCAGCACAGTTACAAGTGAGAGAAAGGCTGCCTGGATTTATCTTGTGTCAGTCTTTTTCTCCTTCAGGGCAGTATRTGTCTAAGTTATAATTATCTGGAAGCAGTGCTGTGCCTAGTAACCATCGATAAATAGGACAAGGCTGATCTGTTTTGGAAGGCTTTAGAAGGATGTGGGATTTCAGAAGCCTGAGAGTGTGGAGCTGCCAAGGTCCCTGGGTAGAGGGGAAATAGCCACAGCTATTTGTAAGTTGTGACACACAATTTGTTTAGACTGCTGTGAATTGTTGGATAGATCTGGATTTTTTTGTAGGAAACCTGAATCATAAATTTCTAGTTTGAAAACATAAATGTTTTCACTAATTCCACATCCTGAGGATTGTTTASATGATGGTAAATTCACAGTTATCCCATGGAGTTTCTTTCTTCCACCTTCCCCAGCAGCTCAGTATAAAAATTCATTTTCAACAAATGAAGTTTTGTCAGAAAAAGATTGCTCAAAACTCAGTGGTATAAACACTTGAAGTTTCATGCTGATGTAAGGCCTCCATGGGAGTCAGTTGTGCAGCAGAAATGAAAATGGGAGAAAATCTAAAAGGAACCTGCAGAAAATAGCAGAAGGCAAGGTGACTCTGGCTAGCTCTCCAGAACTTTTATTGATAGTTGGGTCAGTTGAATGTTCCCTACTATTCTGGGGCACAAGTCAGGAGCTCTGCTTGTAACTAAATTATTACTGCTGTGGAGGAATGTCGGCAAAAAGCATTAATGACTTCTGAATCAATAAATCATGGCCTAAAACATGTTTTATTGATTCTTGTGATGCTTATTTCCCACTCACCTGTCTATCCTAGAAGAGCTTTGAGACAGTAATAGGAGTGACTCTGCTGGCTTTTCRTGTAGGACCCACTCAGAGTTGTAGTTCACATTTTCACTTTCAGTCTAGAATGTACAATCAAAGTTATTTTCCTAAATATAAAACTTTTGAAATAATTTGATAAAAATGAATAAACAGCAAGAGCAGACAACACTTGCAGAAATKAAACCAATTAAAACCTAAAGCATGCTGTTCCCAGGGGATTCAAAAATGAATCTGTGACAGAAGTAGTCAGATTCTTGTTTTCTTTATTGAAATGTTTGCAATGACTACTTACATAGTTTCATAATCCATAGGTATTTTTGGCTGCATACAGMCAAATTTCCATAACAGACAGATCAACATTTCAGATATAGACTAAAATTATCTCAATATTAAGTTGCCCCTGTCATTTTCTCAAGTGCTTTGAAAAAGCTCTAATCCATTTTTTGTATTTCGTAAATTTTTGGTAAATGCATGGTGCAAAACTTAGAAATAAAAATGCTTCTGTGTCATCATTGAGCAGTACTTAAAGATAGCATTGYCACAAAGCAAAGAATAAACAGTTCATTTATTGATACAATGAATGTGTAATATCTGTTCTGAAGAACACAGAGGTAAGAAGGGTTTATTTCTTGCACCTGATCTTGTCTTCACATCAAGAATAATCCCACTGGAGACAGTGGATTTATGTGCTTACAAAACTGTGTAAAGGCACTTGGAGGGTGTCTATGGCTTGCCCTCGTTATTAAATCTCCTGTTAAAAGGGATCTGACTTTGTGAGGGCCTTTGGACTTCTGACTGACACAAATAGTTAGGTTTGTTTTCATAGCTATTCATGAATCTGTGCAGAACTTTGCCTGTGTCTGATCCAGCTGTTGCTTTTCTTTGTGGTCCTCCTTGGTTAAAAGGTACCTTTGTGATGTCCATGGTTCAAAGTGGATTCGGTATAAATACCAAAATGTGGGACAGGGAACTCTGCAGCAGATTCTAGGTTATAGTMATTTCATTGTAATTGACTCATGCTAAGGATGATAAAAAATTAGGGCTTCTGCTGCTAGCAGATAAATAGCCTGTCTTTATTTTTAATATATCCTCCCTCCAAACCCTATAAACACTCAAGTACCTCTCCATCCATGGTTAGAGAAACAACTTGGTCCTAAAAAGAGTCTTACAAAAACAGTCAAGCATTTTGTAAAGCTGCAGAAATAGTCTGATGTAATTTTACATGACAGAGGTTTGCATTCATCTCTAAAGCAATATATTTTCTTTCACTGTTTGGATATTTTTCCCTATCTCTCCTTTTCTTTACAAGGATTTTGACCATCACTGCCCATGGGTCAACAATTGCATAGGACGGAGGAACTACCGCTATTTTTTTCTCTTCTTGCTGTCCTTAAGTACGCACATGATTGGAGTGTTCGCCTTTGGGCTCATCTTCGTACTAAACCATATGGAAAGGCTGGGAGCAGCTCACACTACCATTACGTATCCTTCCTTTTGGTCTCTCAASACTCAAGGTGACTGAGGAAAATGTGAAAGAATTAATCTGAGTATTTGTCCTCCTGGAGCTGGTGGAGCCTCTCCCCATCCCCCTTTGCTCTCCTGTAAATGCTCAGTKCAGGGTTTCCTCTGTTCCCACCGTACCTGTGTGAACATGGACAGCTCCAGAGATTGTAGCTGACCCTTTACCTTGTTCAATCTTTGTTGTGACAGCCCAGCAGAAGGGTGAGCTGCCTCCCTGAATTTTATCTACAACCAGGTGTAACTCTAAGATTCTGTTTGCTGTGTTTAAAACCCTGTTGCTGTATTTTGGAGCAGAGWTTGCAGCCTCCTGCTTGCTGGTGTAACACACGAACCACAGCTCTCAGGGGTGTTACTGCTCTTGATAGATTAGTACAGAACATTCTTTACAAGRTGGTTAGAGTCACTGAGTTCACATTACTTTTTAACTGTCTCTGGTGGGCACCCAGATTAGGAGCAGATGGACTTAACTTTGAGGTGAAATTTAGTTAGACCTTTAATTAGTAGCTACAGATGAGGGACACTACTCTGCACCCATGAGACCCCACCTGGAGTGCTGCACCAGCATCAGARGGACATGGAGCTGCTGGAGCAAGTCCAGAGGGAGCCACAGAGATGCTCAAAGAGCTGAGGCCCTCTGCTCTGGAGCCAGGCTGGGAGAATTGGTGGCTTTCAGCCTGGGGAGGCTGTGGGGAGACCTTAGAGACCCCTCCAGTGCCTAAAAGGTTTCCAGGAGAGCTGGAGAGGGACTTGGGACAAGGGTCTGGAGTGAAAGGACAAGGGAGAAACTTCAAACTGAAAGAGGGCAGGTTTAGATGAGATATTACCACAGAATTCTTCACTATGAGGCACTGGCACAGGTTGCCCAGAGAAGCTGTGACTGCCCCATCCCTGGAAGTGTTCAAGGCCARGTTRGSTGGGGTTTGGGGYRRCCTRGTCTAATGAAAGGTGTSCCTGTCCACAACAGGGAGGATTGTAACTTTGTGATCTTTACARTCCCTTCCARCCCAAACCATTCTATGACAYTGTGACASTCTCCCTATTTTTTTTTCCCACCTTTGCCTCTCCCTGTCTTTCATAGCCTCTTTTTCCCTTCACTCAGCCCAGTTTCTTTAACTCTTGGATACAGAATGGCTGTCATGTGTGTGGCTGGGTTATTCTTTATTCCAGTCATTGGTCTCACTGGCTTCCATATTGTTTTAGTGGCCCGAGGGCGCACAACGAATGAACAGGTAAGAATCCTTTCTCCATGTTTGTGGCTCAGGTGTTGAGTTGGGAAGGAAAGTCAGCAAGTCAGCTTGGGTAAAGCAAAACATGGTCCAGATCTTACCAGTAATGCTCTCACTGGAGCTTTTGTGAAGATCTAGGAAGATTGCCTATTTTTTTATTTTCAGGTTTTTAATAAAACAGCACAGGCAAGGATTTCCCCTTTTTAGCCACRTAGCATCAACCCAGCTTTATTTATTATTTAAAGTCTACTCCTGGCCTTGAAATAGGTTTTATGTGGTGAGTACCATCAACCCCAGAAGTTCAAACTTTATGAGTCAGACTGAACAATCCGTGACATTGAGTGAAAGAAAGAAAGGAAAAGATTAAATCATTTGCCCTGTCTCCTGGTATTTTGAACTCCCCCAGCAAGCCCACACTGCCCATAATAGGGTCTGAGTTAGCTCTTTGTCTCACTCTGTGTCTCTCTCTTGTTCTCATGCATATGAACACACACACACACAGACAGTGCTGTTGGACTCAACTTCTTTTGCTTCTCCAAACCAAGTGCCAACGTGACATCTTGTGCCAAAAAGCCTGTAAAATTTCAGTTCCCCTGCAGTTACTTCAATGTCCATGCTCCCACCCTGTGGTTGACCCAGACCCATATTCATGTGCACATCAACAGCATGGTGTGGGTGATAGGGATCTACCCATGGGATCAGTAGCAGGCCCCTGCCACCCCTAAGCACAGTCAGCAGGTGTGGCACTGGGGCAGCTCCGTGTTCTCAGCCCTCTTCCTGAGGCTCAGGAACTCTGTGCATTCCWGTGTTTTACCCTTTCACAGCCCCAACTCTGAAGTACCCCTCACATTTGGGATTTTTTCACTTCCCCCCCCGCCATGGTTTGCGTTTTTTCAGATGCATTTTTGCTGCCCTCGCACCCATGGGTGCTCTGCAGCTCCCACTGAGCCGCTTTGTCAGTCCTGGGGGCTGATGGCTCCATGCTGTGGAGCTGTCTGGCTCCTGGGCAGGCTGGGAGCGTTGCAAACATCTGTCTGAGGCCAGGCCTTCGTAAACTGAGATGACATTGTCTCCATCCCACAAGAGACAATAAAAACTCTTATCCAGAAGAGTGTGGGAGGTTTACATAAGCGAGGAATCTGAAGTCATCCTGAACTGTTGCCTAACATGGCCTTTGAACAAAGCAAGCTTCCATAGCTGTCATCTCCAAATGTTTTACTCTGTCCTGCTCAGAATCATCTGCTCTTCATTTTAAAATTGATTTTGGCCAACTATTAGGTTTGATAGTGCTAAAAATAGTAGCATGAAACGCAGGGCATTTTGGTCTCATAGCTGAAATCGTGATTTGCCTTAGGCTTGTCTTTGTGCAGTGATATAAACTCTCTGTGAAAATTTCAGGCTGAATAAGAAGGAAAAATTTAACTTTTAAAAAGGCAAAATTTAACTTCATGTGTTTGCAGCTACAGTAGAACTTAGAAAGGTTAAGAAATTTTCATTTAACTTGACTGAAATAACTGTTGGAAAATGTATCCTAGCTTGGTTTGGTTTCCTGAGCTACCAAACTGCTTGAGATTTAATTCATCTTCCCATGCCATTTTGAAAATTAAATATAATCTGGCCTTAATTTCTGTTTAGTCATATATAGTGGCTATTTGTAACTGGAGGATGGATGTTCCCAGCCTTCAGGTCCCTTTCAGAGGAAGCATATCTAAATAATTTGAGCACCAGACCAGGAGAGATGGATATGAGATCTGTGYCTGGCTTTTCCACTGTTCTAAAACATTCTCTTTTCTCTCCTTTTCTCAGAGTTGATTCTCTTTTCTCACTCTGGTAGTTATCTACTGTCAGCTTTCCAGTTGCAATATGCTCATCTTATCTTGTCCTCTTTTCCCAGTGCATTTTATAGGCCAGTGGGACAGACATTTTTGGGTTTTCACTGCAAATTTTTGGTATTTATTCATTCTAGAGTTTGTAAGTTCTGAGCATTCGTAGTAGGCAGACTGTGATTGGAAAGTGCATAGTGGCTGGGTTTGGATATTTCTGAGCTTTCTGAATGCATCTGAAATTCTTTTATGGAATCAAAATAACCCATAACCCAACATCTGCTCGTATCCTGGTATTTTTAGTTTCTGAATAGAGTAAATAAATATSCTTCCTCCTTAGACTCCTTTCTACCAGTGGATTTCAAACTACTTTAGAAACCAAATTGATATAATTAGTACTGTAATCYGTGAATTGGATAAAATTTTATTTTCATACTGTGTTTGAGAAAATGGGCACAGAGATATGAAATGCTTTGCCAGCATCTGGCACAAGTCAGTTTGAGCCTAGGAGTGAATGCAGATGTGTCAAACGTCCCAGACCCATGTTTTCATCATAAGGTTGCTCTTCCAAATCTCAGAAYTTCCAGCCTATCTCTCTTGGCCTCTTTAAGAGTTTTGTGTTATATCAACAAGGCCTRCATAATATATTGCAGAATAATTTAATCGTTGCTATTTTATGTGCAAGTTATTAAAGTATTTCKGGTGCTCTGTAAACTTGTTGCTAGATCAGAACTATGAGCTGATTAAAATGCTTTACTTGCAAACAGCAACAGTAATGCTTTTAATGGCAACCACTRTTAATCTCCCTGGCTTTATTGGTATTTATTCCCATATGGTGACTTTCAAGTATCTGCCTGTGGAGTACAAACTCTTTATAATGCTTATGAAGCCTTGAATRGATCCCGCCAGTCTAATGAGGCTTGGCTTTTATTAAACCTGCTCATTTACAAGCAAACATTGTAATCACCAGGGAGTTCCTGGCACCCTCCCACATAAGGCAGTGGTTTGTACTGATTGCTGCTCAGAATGGGATCTGAGWGAGAGGAAACATTGCTCTCATCCAGCACTGGGAACGTTGGTTCGACATCGCTGTTGGTTTAGAGGGATCTTGCCAAGGCAGGGGAATTGAAGKGACAGGAATGAAAGGGACCAAAAAAGGATGTCTGGTGGGGAGCAGACACAAACCCAGTGCCAGGAGCAGCATGGAGAGGTGAAGATATCTCTTAGAAACCCAGTTACATTCAGCAGTGTCCTTTGGGGAAGGATCTTGAGTTGAGTGCCTCCTAGTTGGAATTAGCTGACAGAGGTGGTGTGTTAAAACTGGAGGGAAAAAGTGCAGCATTCAAAGAAAAACGATCTGTTTGGGAAGGACAGAAAGGTCAGACTTGTTCTTGGCTTTCTGAGGGTTGGATGATGACTTTTATATAACCAGAGGTTTGAGCACTGTCCTGAATATGTTTCCAGGTGACAGGGAAATTCCGTGGGGGAGTGAATCCTTTTACCCGAGGATGCTGTGGAAACGTGGAACATGTGCTCTGCAGCCCCTTGGCTCCCAGGTAAGAGAAATGCTSTCAGCTGGGAATGAGCAAGGAAGAGTAGATGTTGGAACAGAGGAAGAAAATGTGCTTGGCTGGGCTCACAAGCCAAAGAGCATTGATGGAATAAGAGGAAAGCAAAGCAAAGCAGTCCTGGACCCAGAGCTCTGTGATAGCTCCTTCCCTGTTGCATGTCTCTAACCTGTCCAGTCAGTTGCTTTCTTCATGTAATTCGCAGCCCTTATCCCAGAATTATTTCTTTGAAATGAGCTTGTAAAATTACATCAAGAGCTGATCCCCTTGCCTTCATCAGTTTGTTTATCCAGTGGATTTCAGTAACGAGGTAAATATCCATATGTTATCATATTGCCCACACGACTTTGTACAGGCAGTGTCCAGTCTGTTGGAGAAAAGGAAGGAAGCTAAAATCAGCCTTTCTCCTTAAGATTTAAATCTAATTTAAGGCTGCTGTGGTTTTCAATCTCACTGGCACTTTCATTATCATAAAACAGATTATCAATGAGGTCTACATCACGAAACTTGAGATTTTATTTATGGCTTTCTATTTTTGGGGAAATGGATTTATCGTTTCACATTTTGAAATCAGGATCTTAATGCAATAGATCAGAYGGACTATAAATAATTCTAGGTGCTGAGCTGTCCAGCCTGCAAACATGTTAATCATCTTCCTGCAGGATTTATTTGAACCTTTTTGGGGTGTTGAGCAATTCCAGACCCTGACACTATTATCTGCCTTTTTTCCCCCCTTTGTTATACAACAAACAAGTCCTAAARGACTGTTACATGTGTTAAAGACACTGTAGTAGCTGCTTCTCAAAYTTATCAAAATGTAAAAATAGGTCAAAATGCATGAGAAGAGCCATGTGAGACACTTCTGTTAAGAGAGTGCTGTGAGTACAATGATCATGGCTATTCACAGAATTACAGCAAGCAAAACATTTGTGTTTTGTGAAGACCTGTGCARATTGTCCTGTATACTGGAGGTCCCTGAGCCATCACTACTAGAATGTCCTGTTCACTATGTAAAACAGAGAAAGCTGGGGTTTGTATTGATATTTAGGCATTGTACAGCCACTGGCCAATTGCACCTTACAGAATTCTATTCCACTGGAGGGAAATTAGATACCTTAACTCAGCCATTTCCTCTTAGATTTGTTGCTTCCTATAGACTTGTCAGCCTCCCATTTATTTGAACATGAAACGTGCTACAGAAACAAATCTCCATGTGGAAAGTCAGAACTGGCAGCACATCATCTTCTCCATGGTAACTYCCCAAGTGCTGGGACTTGTTCCCCCAGTCACTGACTCCCACCACAGGGCAGCTSTTTCATATTAACTGGGTATGATCTAGTCAGTCAATTCTGTTGATGGCAGGCCTCTCTTGCTCTCTTCATCTATCAGTGCTTCAAAAATTGCTGATTTTTTTAATGCATTCTCTCCTTTTGTTCACTAAAATTAAATGAGTTTTGTTTATTTATTACATACATTGAAATAAATGGACATTGCTTACACAAATCATAACCTGGCAGTGGGAAGGTTTTCTTGTCTCTAAGCCTTGTTCTTAGGTTACTGTTYATGTTAATGATGACTGTTACACAAYGAATCAGGTACGTGGTGGAGCCCAAGAAGAAGCAAGCTGTGAGTGTGAAGCCTCCTTTCCTGAGACCTGATTTGTCTGAGCGCCAGATCACAGTGAAGATCAGTGACAACGGCATCCAAGCCAACCTCAACCGGAGCAAGGTGAGGAAACTTCCAAGTGCTGCTTTTGAAGGGCATGGATTGAGCCTGAAATGAGTCTGGCATTGACAAATCTCTTTGAGATGATGCAGAAAATGATAGAGGTTGAGTCCTTGGCACATACTTCATCCTCAGAAAGTAATGCAGGTGCAGGAACAGCAGCTCTTGATCCAGTAACAGGCAGCTCTGGAATGGAATCCCTCTGGGCTTCTTTTGGAAGACTTGGCTGTTCTTTGCAGTAGTTATTTTCTGTCCCAAGAGTTGTCACCTCTTGGTGTTCAAATTAATTTTAATGAACCCTTGTACCACCAGACCAGGTCAGCTGTTCTACTTCAAAGAATGTTCTGAGCTTCCAGGCTGTGGGAGGGCTTGTGGTCCAGAGCAAGGAATATTAACTCAGGAGCTGAGTTCTCTTCTCTCCTCTTCTCTTTTCACTTTCTCCTGGTATGAATAATAGAGAAGGATTTGTTTAGTCCTATAAAAAGCAGTAGATTCAAAGGAAGCCAACTTGCATGAGTTTTGTGGATAGTTACTTCCTACATTCTTCAGATAGTTACTTGCTGAGAGCTACCTGGAAAGTTGCTGAAAAATACTAGAAAACACTATTGTCTTCTACCACAAATWAATTAGTGTGATGACAATGGTACTKAGCATGCCAAGTAGACCASGATAGTGCATTTAAGWGTCTATTGGCTGGTTATGACAATGCTAATTTTACATGTGACARTCCTTGTCTGCAGTGGATGCTAAATTTTAGATATGGGTAGTTCTGGCTCTCTGGTACATCCAGCACTMTGATACATGCTGTTATTCAACCAAATTGCATGTAATGATTGATTTTTTTTCCTTTTTTTTTTTTTTAATCACCTTCAGTCTAAAATTAGCCTGGAAGGTCTGGAGGAGAAAAGCATGGATGTGCAACCATCCCTCCCACCCAAAGGAGATCCAAGCAAGTACTCTGAGCTAAAAGGGCAGCTGGGCACCAGTGAAGGTATAGTTRCATGATTAGTGTTTTATTTTTATTAATATGAAAATACTTTAGCCTCTTTGAAAGGTTTCTCATATTCTTTGAAAACATGGGATCTGGGTGAAGGCTTTTTTTCTATTTATAGGGCTTCCAGACTAGGGAATTAACCGCAGGAAAGGGAGAGAAAAGCCAGCTTGAAATGGTTCATTCAAGCCTAAGCTGACTATTTCATACCATTTTTGCAGAGTTTATAAACTCTTTCAAACCCCTTCTTAAACTTTCAATCAATTTTTAGTTGAAAAATGTAATTTTAAACTAAGGAATCAGACCTATTAGCATGAAATGCTTAGGCATTACAAAATTTTTTCATTTGGTAAAATGTGAACATAATGCTTTGATACTATTAAAAAACCCTTTTTTTCAGACAGAACTAGCAGCTGAATTCAACCCAAATATCTAGYATTTCAAATTAGGCAGAATTTCTACTCAACAAAACATGTCCCCCTACTCAATATATTGTGCTGTGTTCCCTCTTCTCTGTAGATGGCTGATCTGGCAGCAATAGGCTCTTACTTCCATAGGGGCCCCATTGATTTTGGTGGAATTCTGCACAAAAGCACTGCAAGTTTTAKTCTCTCCAGAGCAGATCTGTTTACAGAGAACAATGGATAGCAAGGAATTATGGTTGGCTGCTTTCTCTCCACAGGCATTTTAATAGAAAGTCCTTTTTTTTTCCCTTTTACAGAAGGTGGCCTCTCACCCAAACTTATCAGCCCTCCTACTCCTGCCATGTACAAGTACCGGCCAGCTTTCAGCAACAATCCCAAAGTCCACTACCACGCCACGGCCGAGCAGGTGAGTGAGCCTGGGAGTTTCTGCTCCCAGCTAACACTGGGAATGTGGGACTGGGGATGAATTCACTGCAGGGCTCCGGTGAATGTCAGTGTGGAAGTAAATAACAACACTTGGCTCTGTTGTGTGACAGTGTATTGTTTTCACTGTGCTCCTTATGGAAACATGTCTGATTTCACAGCTTTCCCCTGCTGACACGCCTGTSCTGCTGCCAGGCGTGAGCTGCTGCTGTTCCGGTGTCTTGGCCTGATCCTGAGATGCTGACAAGTGTCACCTCCCATTGGCTTCTCCAGGCAGAGGTGCCACCTCACATTCCCTTCAGAGGGAGCTGGGCATGCTGAGCATTGCTCTGGATCAGGCCCTTTAGCCAACAGTCAGTACTCAGATTCCTTAAGATGTGAGCTTTCAAAATAAAAAGAACTTTTAAAGCATCCCAAGAGATATTTTAATGAAAATTAATGGAAGACTCCTCATGTTTGACCTTCCCTAGGACCTATTCAGTACATTTGAGTTACTGGGAAAAACCCACCTTCCTAACAGTTGGCATTATTTTCTCCTACCAGAAAACTGAGGTACAAACAATTAGACAGATTTGCTCTGGAATGTTGACAGTTCTCTCTTTTGCTTARAAGTTATGAAACTTATTTCCCATGGATTTATTGCAATATTCCTTGCCCCCTAGGACCTGAGAACAGCTGTTTAAAAATCACTCGTCTAACTTGTATATTTGCAATATGTATCCAAGTCTTCACACACCAGTGGACACACCCTTAAAAACACATACCACACACAGTGCACTTTTCTCAAAATTAATTTCATCAGGTCCTTCAGTGTCACCCCTGGAATAACAAGAAGAGGGTGATAGGAAGGAGTATTATGAAAGAAGTAAGGAAAGGAAAATATGGTAGATAAAARTAATTGACTGCAGCAACACTGTAATAAGACAGAATGTTCCTTAAATRGTGAGGAAAGCTTTTCGTGAATCCTTCTCATTTTGAAAAGAAAGATGGTGATAGATAGTAGAATTCCAGCTGTGACCAAGCTTAAATTTTAGTCTTACTGCAGTRATAGTAAATCTTATTCTCTGGATTTGTCCCCGTAATGAAGAAATGATTGGGCTTATGAAAGGGAGCACAAGAACAACAGTGTGTTCACTGYATCCAAAAAGTTTAATATCCTATCATTGTCATTTTATTACATGAAAAATGACTTGACATCAAATTCAAAATATTCTATTTACAGGCATCATCTAGCAATTTTGAGCTGTGGAAACCACAGCATTCTGAGTCATAATGCCAAAAGTCAGGGAGCCAAGGAAGGCAGGTTGCTTGTGTTTATTCAGTGCCCAGGCAGAGATRCAATATAGATACAGGGGAGGTTCTGATTAGGCCAGGGGACTGGGCAGTGCTGGGAAATGATAACAGGGTACAGCACCTTCACTAGGAGGGTTCCTGTTTCAATCCTAACCCAAAGCAGTGCTGTTGCTGTGGGCTGGCTGTTGTGCAAGCTCTGGGGACTTGTTCAGTTTTATAGTAGTCACAACTCTCTAGTAGTCAGCTGGGAGTATCGTAAAATTGAGTTCACGTGCACGGAGGGCATGGATTTGTCTGCCAAGCCTAAGTAGGACGTACAGAGGAAAGAGGCTGGGCTGTGTGAGGAATGCCATGGTGCCTGTTCTCTTGTCAGTTCTTTAGCCTGTCAGTGTAATTCTGCTTTTAAGCAATGAAAGCTGCCAGGAAAGAGGCATTGGGACACAGGATAAGTAGCACAAATATACTTAAAAGCTACGTCATTGCTCTCATCCTCCTTTACAGACTGTCACTTGGACTCCTTTTTCCAGAGGTGGCCAAATTTAGCACCATGCTCTAGAAGAGAGTGAGCTGTTTTGCATATTTCTCTATCTTCTAGCTCAGAGGAAAAAGCTTTTAAAAAAAAAATCCACAATAAACCAGGGGTTTGTCATTCTTTCTTCTTTTGATAGTTTTATTTTAAAAGAAAGTGAAAAACAAGCTATGTCAACTGCATTTCTCATTAAATATGTGACTGATAATAATTCTTTGTTTGCAGAACCAGTGTAGCAATTTATTGTGCATTATGGCAAACTCTTCCTGAAAAATAACAGCAAAAATTATTTGCTTAGCACAGAATGGCATTTTAAATGAAGAGAATTCTAAGCAATTTTCATAGAGTAAAATAAAGTGAAGTCCTATCTGTTTTCAGAGCACATAAATAAATTATGGCCTTTGTTTCCTACTCTGATGTGGCCACTTTCTCCTACACAGGCAATAAAATAGAGAAAATTGCTTCATTTTGTTGTCTAAATGGTGGGAAAGAGCCTCTCTGCTTTAATTAAGCTTAGGTGCCTAATTTTGAAGACCTATAACCAGAAGTTGAGAATTACTGAATATTCATAGCACAGAGTAGAGCAGAGAAGAGCGTGCTGGTCCCCAGTGTGTTGAAATGAAGCTGAAAGTATTTCTGTCTCAGCACACAAAACCAGACATCCCTCAACTCAAGAGCTATTTGTAGAAAACGTGAAGTGCAGTGCTTTTTCCAAGGGCAGTATCATCAGATTACAATCTGATTTACCTTGACTGAGACTCGAGTCTCAGCTTGGGTCTCTCTTTCAGTGTTTGCTGTGTCCATGTATTAACTTRCTTTTTGTTGTCAATATTATTTAGCACTTACTGTGAATAACTTCACTTATGTGAATAACTCCTTCCTTCTGAAGTGCTAATCCATATGTTGGAGTCAGGAGATTTCCTTGTAATGAACCTGGGCTGACAGTCGCAGGCGAGACCTTCAGCTCTGTCCTTCCCATGTGCTCACCATGAGAGCAAACCCATATTTATGTGTCACTGACTTCTGTTTCTCACACTCACCTCTGTTTTAGATCACCTTGCAGGAGGGACACAGCCAAGGGGCTTTGATAGAAGAGGATGGCAGGAGCCTTGATTACCAATCCGAACCCAGCCTGGACATCCCCAGCTACCGGAAGAGCTCCCTCCACAAGACCTATCAGTCTTCCCCACTCCAGATAGATTCCTTTGCCATCAATTCACGATCCCTGAGCCTGAAATCTGCTGGCAGGAGAGGGACTGACAAAGTGCCCCTTCATCCAATAAARTCTGAAGGGGCGGCTTCCACCCCTTACAAAAGCATCTTTTCTCCCAATTCCCTGTCAAACAGAAATGGGAGTCTTTCGTATGACAGTTTGCTGAACCCCATGTCTCCCTCGGGGAGGAAGTGCATTGCCCATTCTGCWGTCAGCTCTGTCGGGTACCACTCCCCATATTTGTCAGCCAAAATGTGCCACCTCCGGGGCAGCGAGCTGCAGCGCCAGCCCCCGCAGAGCTTCAGCCCCGTGCTGGGGGGCCCGGCCCCGCACCAGCGAGACCCCTCCCCGGTCCGCTATGATAACCTTTCCAAGACAATTATGGCATCCATCCAGGAAAGGAAAGAGATGGAAGAGAGGGAGAAGCTCCTGCACTCGCACCCTGATTCGGTGTTTGCAGACTCGGGTGTCTATGACACCCCCAGCTCCTACAGCCTTCAGCAAGTGAGCACGCTCTCGGATGACCCGCGCAGCATGGCCATGAGATAYGGATCCAGGGACAATCTGATGGCTGCCAGCAGCTTTAGCACAAGGAACCCTCTACTGCAGTCCTCAGTGTCTTCACTCTCAAGTGCAATGACGAGAGCACCAAGGACTTCCACAACATCCCTGCAAGCTGATTTAGCCAATAATAATGTGCAGTCGCATCAAGCACTACAGGGCAGGGTGAGCAATGGCTCCTACAAATCCCCAGGTCACCAGGTCCCATCGTCCCCCACAGGGATGCCTAGGTCACCTTCTTACGGAGGCCCRAAGGCTGTGTCCTTTGTAAACACTGTGGAAATTACAGAGGTGCAATCAGTGGGAGCACAGAGGTACGTACTGCTGGAGGGGCTGAGAGCAGTGGGAATCTGCCTGTGAGCAAGGGCAGAGCTGCGCTGGAGGCACGGCCCAGATGAGGAGTTTGCTGTGGGCCATGAGGGCGGGAGGTTTGGGGGTGCTCTTCAGTTCTGTCACACCCCCACTGCAACCTCATCGTGACAAAATGTTTGCACTTTGCTGTAGCTTGAGCTGCAGGTGGTCAATTATGCTGTAAATTCATAGTGATACGGTGTCGTAGCTGAGCAGGGGATTTATTTACAAGGTGAGAGGCAGATTATCCCTTCCCTTGTGCACAAAAGGGTGGAGCTGTTTTAGTTTGCAGCCTGAAGGGATGCTGGACCCAGGCATTGTTTGGATACAGATGTGCAGCATACCCTGCGCTGAGGGAAATGGACTGAGAGCAGTCCTGGAAATGGTGCTTGGCACAGAGAGCTGTGTATTCAGCAGTGTTGAGTGTCCATAGCACAGAACTGCTGATAAAAGCACACAGCTTCATGACATTACCTTAAGGCCTTGCTGCTTCCTTCCTTTCTGTGAGAAAGCACAGAGAGAGAGGATTTGCTGTGCCAAGAGCCTCTGTAAGTGCTATCTGAGGAAGATCCTCAGCTGCAGTTTCTGCATGTGCTTCTCTTTTCCTTCTGGAAACCATGGAGCTCGCAAAGCCTGAAGAGATCACGATCCTGCTGAGGATGCAGTAATTCAGCTTAGTTAGGCCCTGGAGGGYTCTTCAGAAATACCTAATTTTCCTTTGTGCACTGGCACTTAGTGTGCTGTGCTGGCCTCTGGTTAAGGTCCCAGGTTTCTCTCTCCTGTTATCCAGCATTTTTGGAAAAGTTACTGAAATGTGGGAGAATCATTATTGTAGATCTCCTGAAGATAAGTGCCAGCAAGTTCTCTCAGAAATGAGCAACAAAGTGTTGTTTAACTGGATATTTAACTAGAAAATGTGTTTTCTGAGTGTTTTATTTCTTATTGTAAGACACAATTTGGCTTAAGGTCAGCAGTGGTGACAGTTAAACCCTCCTGCATCCACCTACAAATGCCTGTGCAATTAGTTTAGATGGAMAAAGCATTTAAGCAAGTAATTAAATGAACAAATATTACTGGGGTGTGGTCCACTAACSTAATGGCCAAATGAATTCTCTCATTCCGGTGGCTTTTCATCAAGTGCATGGGCTTCAGCCAGCTTGCTCCCAGGCTTGAATATTTTGCAATGCTGGTACTCAGGGTGACAGGGGTAATTGTTTATTCTAATAGAGCAATTCTGTTATTAACTTTGTCACTAATATTGTATCTTTTGATATTTCCTTTGATGCAGGGATGACATGCAGTTGAAGACACCWCACAGTAAAATAAATGGACAGCCAAAAGGAATAGCCAGGTTGGGCTCAACATCAAGTTCCCAGGGGACGCCTGTCAGCCCTGCTAGACACTCAAATGTTAAGAAGGTGTCTGGAGTTGGTGGAACAACCTATGAAATTTCAGTGTAAAATCRAATGAATTAAAAACAAAGAGCCATCCACTCAGCCAGCCATGAAGCTAGGAGCACTGTGAAGACTCAAATAACAACAAAGAAGGAGCAGCAGCAGTCGGCCACTCTCCTTTTCTTGTTTTGGGTTTGTTATGTTTTCATCTTTCTCTTTTGGCCAAAAACCAGCTGCAGCCTTATTCTTGAGGGAATAATAAAATTGTACAGTCTATCAGACTCTTCCTGAACCGACAGGCGGGAACTGGCTACGACCTAAGACCACCACAGAGCGGATTTCCTTCCTGCAAGAGAGCGCTAAAGCCATTGTGCGCGTGTCTGTCCAACCAATCTGTCATGTACCACTTGTGCTGTGAAAAGTACAGTCAGTCCAGGATCAGTCAGTTTTTCCCATGCCCCCTCCCAGTTCTGGCCAGCAGTGTGTGCAGCAGGAGCCAGAGGACCAACTGCTGTTTTCCTGCTGACTTGGAAAGCAGGGTTCCTGCGCTGGGCAGGAGCTGCTCCATGTCCCCCGGGCACTGCAGCTCAGGTTCCTCCTCCTGGGGTGGAACACAGCAAGGCCACTCGGGCTGCAGACACCACAACAGCTTTAAAAGCCTCCCTGATCCTGGATGGGACAGGAGAAAGGAGAGCAACAGCTTCTGCCTGTCTGCCATTGGCCTCCCCCGTGTGTGAAGTTGTGTGTGTGTGTGTTTGTCTCCACGGAAAAGGACCGCAACACCAGGGAGGATCTGCCACTCTGACCTCCTGCTCCCTCGGGGTGTTAAAGGCTTCTCTGACTCGGAAACAAAACCAAGCAGATCAGAAAGGAAATGTTCTGATGGAAATATATTTTAAACAGCCGTCAGCTGCTTTCCCTGCACCCTCCTTACCTGTTGGATTTCGGCAATAACAGAGTTTACTGCCTTGCCCTGGTGCCGTCAGTGTAATCCCGCAGCAAGGTTATCACGAGCTGTCCAATTTACAGTGTGTGTAACTGAGCCAAGCGTACATCTAAAGGATATAAATTTTCTGTCTGCCTAATTACTAGCACATTCCCTCTGGTCTTCARTACTGTTAGACAAAGGATTTTCAATTTGGGTTTTTGCCCCCTGGGGAACAACTTTTTAAAATAATATCAATCAGATCTATTTAACATTCTGAGGTTTCTTTCTCCTGTCTCCAGAAAACTACATTTACTTTTTGGATTTAAAGACAACTTTACTGTATAAACCAAGAAAGGGGTGCATTACTCTTGTCAAAAATATGAGGACTCTGGCAAAACTAATTTGGGACAAATGGATTTTTATTTCTCTGTTCCTTATCTCCTTTTCCTTCCCATTCAGTTACCACCTCAGAAGTCAGAAGTACTGAGATCTGGACCAATGCTAACTAGCCAGATCATTAAGATTGAATTGTGCAATTAAGAATATCCTGAGCAACTGTTGCCAAAGTCACTAAAAATTATTATTTATCACTGAGCCAGTCAGCATACAAGACCTCGACTTCCCACCTGGTTCTCTTGATGAATAGTTTTGACTAGAGATCTAAATCGATCATTTTTCAGGATATTTGTTTCAAGGGGTTAAATCCTTTTCAGTCCTTGACTATAATGGAAAGCTCTCCAGGTATCTGGTAGCAATTCAGAATGTGTTGATAACATCTTATTTGTGTTCATGTATGCTGAGATTAATTATTCCAGAAGGCAAATATTGACCTTAATTTTGCCTGGTTAAAATTTATATTTTGATTTGATGAATCTTGACATCTGCTGCAATACATGGTTATTATGTCCCTTGTATATCACATTATTTTTTGGAGACAAAGATTGAAAAGAACATAAGCAAGCTAATCATCTCTGTGTGTAATGCTCTGTGTTGCCTGAAGGGAGAAACCTGGAAAGCAATGCATCTGCAATAGGCCAAAGTTCTGAGAGAGTGAAGTAGAAATCRGTGTGCATTTAATTGCCTTGGTGATATTTGAAATGCTCAGTGTAGGGACATTGCAGAGCAAGAGAAGCAATAGTCTTTCTATGCAGATTTGCTCACTGGCATGTAGAATATTGTTTTTAGTTGGAGGCACCATGGTACCAGAAGGGTGCTGGCAAACTGGATCGGGTACAGATGGAGCAATATATATTAAAGAACTGGATGGGCTGGTTAATGAGAAGATTTAAAGGGCTAAACATGCCACTGGCTAAGCAATGAAGTGGAAGTTGAGTAACATAATTTTAAAAATATGTTACTTAGAAATTGTAAARCCAAAGGTAAATCAGAGGGTTGTCACTGGTAACGAATGGTCTACATTTAAAAGGGGACAGAAAAGATGGAGGGGAAGAGGCAGCAGAATAGTCTTCCAAGCAGGGTTTTGGAAACAAACTGTTTAGGACAGTCAGAGAGTATTTGGACAAGTCATTAATTAAAAAATTTCTGTGAGAGGTGAGCCTGTAGGGACAAAGGGTAGACCAGATGGCCTTATAGATTTCTTCCATCTTTAACTGTTATTAATCTGCAGTCTACCCTGATGCTGACTCCTCAGGAAGATGCAGTACTTCTTTAAKGACTGGAATTCACTCTGGTGCATAGAGTATCACAAGAATTACTTGTTTTTAAAGTATCATGYATGCCATATGTAAGCCCTGAAAAAGAGGGGGTTTGAGACACATGGGATTAGGGAGCGAGACAAGGGCACATTTTATCATGTATCTTTGAATACGTACATGAAATTCATGCAAGCAAGGCTGAAAATTTGCACCAATGTAATATTTGAGATTTGCATCCCAGTGATGCTCCACTTGGATCGTTCTTTCTCTTGCATTTATAAATGAAAAAGCTACTGAGGAACTTGAAGGGCCAAAGAGCCTTTGAAGTTAACTACATTAGTTCATGAGAGAATTTCTCAGTAAGACTAAACACAGTATTGTGTGTATAAAGCACTAATATCCAGGGTTATTTTGACATAGTTCACAAGGGGTAAGGGAGGAAAAAAAGGATGCACTGTGTCAGTACAGGTTTAGAAGTAATGATTATGTATTTTGTGAGTAGTTTTGCCCACAGTTGAGAGACATTCAACTTTTTCATAGGTTTACAATGGTACCAAAGTTTTTTTTGGTTTTGTTTTTTTTTTTTTTCCTTTTGAGGTTTGCATTTAATTCAGTGCACATAGCCTGGAGTAAATGATTCAAATTTTCTGAAAGAGTAATCTAAGCAGAACTGTTAACAGGAGATTGCATGCAGCAAATCCAGCCTCATTTCCATCCAAGGCACTGAACCTGCAGCTATTTTCTCATAAATGTAAGTGTCTGTTTCCATAGTTCCTGTTGTGGGACTGGGGACCTATTTATTAAATCTAATTTTTGAGCAGAATCCAGCCCATGTTACAGTATAGTTCTTTAAGCAGTTTACAGATCAGCAGTAAGGTTCTTCTGCCCAGATACCCTGTTTTTACAGACACTGCAGGCCAGATCTTCAGCTRGTATAATTTGGTGTGGCTCCATGAAAGCTCATTTAATTGATGCTAATTTATAGTAGGTGGGGATCAACCATGAAAATCCAGCACGAGTTAACACATCCTGTAAAGTAGCTTCTTTATTTTTGTCATGCTTATTTCATGTTTCAGAAGTCTTAAATATTTTCAACATGTTTTTATTTGTAGCTGTGGATTGTATTACTTATTTAAAAAAGAGCAATAGGTTTTTTTTAGTTTGTGCATCAGTTTTCATTGCATATTGCATTTTATTAGTCATTTGTTCCCTGTTCATACGCTCCCATTTAGCCTCCAGGTTTTCATTGTAGTATTTTTCTGCCTTGAAAAGTTGGATCTCTGTATCTTTAATTGTATAATATATTGAATATTATGGAATTAAATGTACTTTACTACATGGGTGGGAGAGAAAGGAAATATTTTTACTTGAAGCCTTAATATTTTCTTTTTTTACTACTTTGTTTGTTGACCTCATAGGAAAGTCTGAATAGCAAAGACTTTGAAACTCTGGGCCAAATACTGCACTGACAGACAACCAGCATTTGGCCCCCATGTCAAAACTGGATGCAGACATAACCTGAAGTGAAGAAGGGAAARAGCCTCAGGGTGGCATATTTTCCTGAAGATCATTAATACAGTCTCAAAGCATGTCTGTAAGCAAGTACATTTAAGAARTCTTCAAGTCTTGAATTTTTAAGGAAGGTGATAGCAAGAACTTCCCTAATATCTTACATCTGCTTTTTTTTTTTTAATCTCCTTTTTTTTTTTTTTTAAATTAAGCAAAACAAATGTATTTACTCAGTTTGGTTCAGCCAGCTCGGGGGGTTGCACTGAGCTCTGTGTTGGTAGCCATGTGCAGCACATGAGCTGTGGGGTGTTGCTGTTCTCATTCTAACCAAGCGTGATGTTGTGTCAACTCAGCCCGAGAGGATCCCTCCCGGGCCCTACAATGGACGTTCCTCAGATGATGCCTACTCTCCTACAAGCCTAATATGGAAATTGCAATGTGGTTTTCTTTGGACTCTATCTGTGGTCCAGACTAGAGATATATAGAGAGATATATATATAGTCAATATTTTTTTGTGTGTGTGGGAAAGATGGGGTCAAGCTTTTCTGTCTCTGACAGTCTGGAAAGTTAATGTCGAACCGTTTTTATGGTCTGTATTTCACCTGTTCTGCCACCTTGAATTGTTGGAATGTATCCGTGCAGGCTTTGTGGAGCTCTGTCTGTAACCTTTTTTGTGGCTCTCGTAATACATATATATTTTTTAAACCTTTGAGTCACTTCAGTATTTTCAAGTGTCTGTTTCTGCCTCAGATGCATTCATTTGCTGCGATGGTTCGGGGTGCGCTGCCCTTTCTCACTTCCGCTTGTGCAAAGAAACCTGACCTGGAAGAGCAGAATGGAAAGGCCACTTCCAGTGCAAAGGACAAAAGTGACAAAATATTAGAAGAAGTGACAGCAGGTTAAATCTTATTTTCAAGATGCTTATGGTAGAGTAGGAAATATGGTGAGTCTTTAAAAGAGTGTCTCCTAGTTGTGACCAATGAGTTATGTTTGTGAGATCGCAGCAAGTGGTCCATGAAACAACATAACATGAAGTTTTCTGTACTGTTTTTTATTTAAGCTGTGGGGTTGATAGGGATCCTGTGGTCCTGCACAGTTGTGAATCATTGCCACAGAGTAACTGGAAAAAATTTATTGGTATTTGTTGAAACATTCTGTCCGGGTCATCTGGGTTTAGAAATCCCAAACATGCACAATTCTCAATCTATCTTCATCTGTCTATCTGTTTCTAGTCTTTGAAAATGTCCATTTGATCTGTCAGGCTGTCTTACAACACGCACAGCTGCCAAGCCCTGCAGCTGCTGCAGGATTTCTGATGCCATAATTTGCATATATAGGCTAATTGCATTAAGCAAGGATCCATTCAAGCATGTTCATTAGAAATGCCAGTCATATTTGTGTGCTGTCGTGTCTTCACGTGGCAGAGATTATCTTTTCTATAAAATGACCCAAACTGTAATCACCAGGCTCCATTGATGTTGGCTACATCAAGCAGGATTATACAAGCYCCTGATCTGTTTCAATACATTTTATTTAAAGATATCTTGGCTTACAGCAATCTCRGCTTTCCTCTCTCTAAGTAATGGGTAAATTATCCGAGTCTGTATTTCATTTTTTCATTATTGTTATTTTTTATTCTGCAGGGCAAGTTTAGGTTCACACTTTGGAACATAATAAGGAGAGACAAAGGAAACTATTTATAACAGGTGAATATATCTTTTAAGAGAGAATCAGTTTTATAATAAATAGATTAGAATTACTGTCAAAATTTGTTTTATTCATCTTGTCACAATAACCTGAAATTTAAAGTAAGGCTGATTTCACAGCTGGTATCTCTAACCCTGAAACATTTTTTAAATGTTTTGGTTAGACATTTCAAATTATAGGAAGAAATATGATCTACTTTTACAGATTAAAGCAGTCCTGGAGAAGTGATGGTACATTTTACAGTGCCTTATATATATGTGTATATATTTACATGTGTATATATATATAATGCCTATATGTATATAATGTGTACGTAACTGTGTACATAGAGTCAAGTAAAATTAGTTTCAGCTGTCTGATATATTTTAAATGGAACTGATCTGTGTTGATAGAAAAAGAATGGTTGTGTCAGCAGCACAATATGAAACCGAAATTACTTACTAAAATGTAAGCAAATAAAATAGACTGGAAAGAGTGTTTCTGCCAGTGGTTATGTTCCAGGCCATGGAAGACTGGTAGGCAGAGCCACCATTTTAAAGGATATTCAGAGAGAAGGGAAAGCAGAGCTGGAAGCTTGGAGAAAGTGGAGAATAGGTAAGAGCAACTTGCCTTACAAGTTATTTCATGTTGCGTTGCCATCCTGTTCTCCTGTCACACGTTCATCCCTTTTGTGGATTTTTCAGACAGTAATTTTGCCATTYATTTGTGAGGAATATAAAGCACTGATACAGCCTTTCCATGTGGTATTAGATCTGGAATGCACCTGGCCTGGGATGGACAGTGAGCACTGTGGGCAATGCTGAGGTTTGATAACATTTCTAGACTGTGTAAAGATATCCTGTTAATCTGCTTCTCTTGAATCATACTTTTTCCCTTGGTGGACATGAGCCACTTTGATCAGACTGTGTTGCAAAAAATGCACAACATGGCAGATTCTGCCAGATCAGGAACTTTTCTTGGGGTTTAATTGCATTGTAGAAACAAGGGGTACCACAGGTAAGTCTTGTATTTTAAAAAATATCCCCTTCCTGACAAACGATTTTACGAACACCAGTAATTCAAAAACCTTTCTTTCAGCGGACTTTGTGAAGTGTCTGCTCTGTAAAAGCCGTAAGGGCCATGTGCCACCTTCTGAGGTTTATTTCACTCCTTTTAACTTTCAGCCATGTGTGGGGCTTGGACTATCCATCTATTTCTTCAGTAAGGGGTAAGAACAGGATTTTTGAGGATTTATTTGAACATTGTCTGTATGTGTGAAACCTTCCCACTGAGCTCAGTGGTACCTGAAAGAAATAATGGGAAGGCTGTGTGTGGTTAGCCAGAGAAATGGCAATGCCTGGAACTCACTAAGGGAAAAGCAGCCTTCCATATAAGTGAACAAGTGTCCTTCAGGTAGCACTGATGTTCTTAACCAAAGCATGCCCGTGAGTTTGGCTTTAATAAATCATATCATCACACAAGGTCAGCCATGCAGACTCAGTGGAGGGCTTTCAACACCAAAATCACAAGCTCTAATGCCCCAGATGAACACCTTAAATGAGAATTCCTGTTTTCAGAATGGCAGAGTTACATATTGAGCTCATGAATGCCATGCCTAGCTCACACTGAAATCTCACTTCCCCTGAAATGAACAGTAATTTTTTCTTTAATATTTATGGTGCCTCATCATTCCTGGCATGCCATTGGGAGTGGCACCACAGGAATCTGCTCACTGCTGTACTTCACTGACATTAGGGCTTCTTCAAGCCTCTAACTTGAAGCAAATTAAATACCTCCCATGTTTTTTTCTCACAACGGCACAAAGGGAAAAGTGCAATTTCATAAACACATYCCATTTTGGGAGCAACTCTGTTTTTAATGGAACTTCTGACCCTGCTCCAGAGAACAGCAACAGTCTTCATGGAGGCATTTTTGAGTTACAGGCAGCAAGGAGGAATTTGGGATTAGCAGCAGTGGAGCAGTGTGGGCTCTTCTGCCTTGTCCTTTCATGCAGTGTGCAGGATGTGGCTGCTGGGCAGTGGTTTCCTCCTGYATTCACTGTTCCCATGGATGTGAGATGGATGCTCCATATGTGCCAGTTGCTCCCACATATAACTTGAAAGCCTCTTTCAGTTACGTAGGAACAGAGCACAYGGGGATCTTTGGGTCTTCCAGAGTCAGCTCCTAAAACTGCATTATATTCTGGTTCTAGTCACAGGCACAGGTGGTTTAGCAGAATACAGCTTTGCTGTCAGCTTTTTCTCCTGTACAGTCATTGGAACAGATGGTGAAAGGATTGCTGGGCTTTTTTTTTTTTTTTTTTTAATACAAGCCAATGCTACTTTTTCTTAGGAAAAACTCATCTTGTAGAAACTGCAGTGTCTGAGTAAATTCAGTGAGTAACAGCATAATCCATTTTTACAGCTTGGATATTATGGATCCATCTGGCCTTGGGATCAGCCCTCATTGTCTCATTGACAGATACCTAAAACAACAGACTTGAAAACAGAGAAGTAAGTAGTTGTAAATAGGTGGTACTTGGTTATGACTAATTGTTCAGGCACACTKTGAGATAGTGGAGACAAACTGCTCTTCTGTTGGCCACAATCCTCCATCAAAACTCGCGTGCTTTGCACTCTGCTGTTGGAGCTTTGCAGCATCAGGCTGTGACTCACAGTGACAGAGGTACCAGCAGATGTTCTCCTCCAAACACGGGCTGCACGTGAGGCACAGCAATGGGCTTCAGGCATTCTGGCACCACTTCCTGACTGCACCACAGATTCCTGCTGCCTCATGTCTTTCTGTGCCTCTTTGCTCCATTTTGGATGGGGATGTGACCTTCTGACTCACAAATGTGTTGTGTTTGGGAGAGGCTCAAGCGCTGTTGTTCTGCAATCAGCTCTGTAGCTGAAGTCAAGCAKATGCCTCTCATAGGTATTGTGGAGCAATAGGGCATATTTTGGGCACATTTASCCTCAAATGAAAGCTTCCCTCAGGTGACGTACTTGGGAAGGAAGTTTTTGAGTSTTTGTGATGGGTGTTGTTGAAAATAATCTTGGTCTTCCACACTGGCCTTGGAAAGCTGTTTTAGTAAATAGATAAAAGACATTTCTGCCTTGATCCTTCCATTGACCCCCTGCATATTTCGCTGAAATCCACACCCTCAGCACAACAGCCATAGAGCACAATCCTCATTCCAACAGACCATATGCTTCATTGCCTTCAGCAATTCTGCTCTTCCCTGCCTGCTTCCTAGAGCAATTGCACATGTGTATACTAACAAATGACTGAGCAGAAAAGCAGTCAAAGAAATGGCTGTAGCTTGGGGGTGACCTCGAAAAGGGGGGCCACTGTGATGTGCTGGTGAGGCACAGAACACATCAATATCTGAGTTCCATAGCCATTGACATGTCGCGGGCAGCTGAGCAAACCAAGCCTTTTACACCTCTCTTGAGAGCAAGGATTGAGCTGCTGTGTTGCCACGTGAGAAATGTTCTTAATTCCTGTCTTTTTTTGTGTCTGTTTTAATGTTGTACAGAAGTACATACCCATTTATCTACACTGCCATATTCACAGCACATAAA